AAATCCAATACAATTACGAAATTTTAATTTTTCTAAATTTTTAAACCTTAATAATAAATGCCATGGTATTATGTAATTGTCCGTGTTTGTGAAATTTAATCCCCACAAATATAAACAACGTAAAGTATTGGCCTGTTGGAAGTTACAATAATAATAATAGCGGAGGAGGAGAAATATTTAAAAGTTGGGTAAAGATGATCGACTTTCAATACGAACCAATTATCTTGCAACAGTATATCATGAAAAAGAAACTTTGAAAATTTATTATTATAATTATAATTGTAATAACTCTTTTAACTCCAACCAGTTGCAATCTCTGAACCTAATGACCATACACATCCCAAATAAAGTATTAATTGTGAGAGAGTGGTTTTTTGCCATTCTTGACGAAATCATTATAAATTCCATAATGAAATTCACCATTATGATGATTTTGACATTTTATTTTTCTGTTATTACTATAATAGTCTTCGTCTTTTAAAGTAAAGGTTGTCATCATCATATTTGTTATTAATTTTTCTAATTTTACTTTCCATAATAATGATTTTTCTTCCTTGCCATTCCAATTATTATCTTATTAATAGTCTATCTCTAATTCTCATTCTATTTCATTTCATTTCACCTAATAATTTCCTACATACAAAATCATATATAAATGCTTTTGAATTGAAGTATATAGTAATGGCCATTTGTAAAAAAGTTACACACATTCCATCAATTTTTATTGAGAAATAACCACAAAGGTGATTAATAAATTTGCATTTATTATTATTAAGTCCTTTCTTTTATTATAAAAAAATTAATATATACACTCTATGTATGTATGCATAACATAATATCATGACCAATGAGCTATATTACATAAAAATTTTCTATACATCTTGGAGAAATCATCAGAGCATTCCCAAATTAGTAAAGATTCTAAAAAAAAAAAAATTTAAAATCAATATTATTCCAATAAATTAATAAATCAATAAATTCAATCAACTATTATTATACTTGCTTTCTATCGTTCTACCAACTTTAAAAAATGCGTCTGCACTATGAAAGTGTCCGAGAAATACAATGGCACCTTGTCCAACACCCCAATCAATTAATTCTTTAATATCATCTTCAAATATATATTCATTATTCAATGTTTTACATTGTCCAATTATTGCAATCATTTTTAAATTTTTAAAAACTCGTTGATTATTATCATCATCATGATTGTTATAATTATTATATCCACTACCATTACAACAATAAATTTTATTATTGTTGGATATATCCATCCTATTTATAATACTTTTATTATAATATTCACTCCCACTCCCATTCACAATCAAATTGTCATTTATATTTCCACTCTTATCCCTCTCAACCACCACCATTTCTTCGACATTACCATTTATTAATGAATCTTTCATGTGTTGATCAAATCCAATACAATTACGAAATTTTAATTTTTCTAAATTTTTAAACCTTAATAATAAATGCCATGGTATTATGTAATCGTCCGTGTTTGTGAAATTTAATCCCCACAAATATAAACAACGTAAAGTATTGGCTTGTGTGGCTATTGTTGGAAAAAGAAAATTCGATGCAACATTGGCTACTTTTAATGATTTTAAACAATGTTGTTCTTTGACAAATTGTTGTAATGAGTGCAATTCCTCCTCATAGTTTGGTGGAACATCTTTTATATATACAAATAATTTTTCCTAAATAAATTCATAAACTTTAGATAATATAATAGATGCATGATTTGCGTATAAAAAATACTTACAATATTTTTACATGGTTCTTTCAAGCCCGTTAATAAACGGTCTTTAACAAATTCACCTTGAATTTCTAATTTTCTTATAGGTTCAAACAAATACTCAAATTCTTTCTCGGTAAATTTTAAATATATAAAATCAGGAGATTTCCTTGAAGTCCATTCACCAATCACCAAATGTATCAAAACAGCTGAATGAGTCAAAAACAATCTTAACAGAGCTTTGATCACTAATGAAATTACATTGTATGGTGGTTTTATCAATTTACCACACCAATTATCCACTGAATGACAAAAATTATCATAATCTAATCTTTTCAACATCTTTGCATAATCAAAACTTGGTCGTTGTAGTTGTTCCGTTTGTATCGTTTGATGACAACAATTATGATGATTATGAGAAGAAGATGAAGAACGTGATGATGACAATGATAGTGGTGGTGATGGCGGTGGTGAAGTAGGCGTAGGAAGAGAGTTTTTTATATTTGTAAATGATAATTTTATGCCTTGTTCTTCCAATTCCGTACGTTCCTTTTCATTAAAACATGATATGTAAACATCAATTAGTTTTTCATTGCCTTTTTCGAAATAATAAAATGAATTACACCATAATAATGGTATTGTTGCTTCACACCATTGTCGATTGACTAGTAAACAAGAATGCAAATTTCCTATAGCTTTAAGTTTCTTTTTTTCACTTTTACGAATGAATGTGAATATTATTTGGAGAACATCTAATGGTAACTTTGATGCCATATTTCTAATGATTTTGTATATGTATAATTGATTATAATTAAATTTTAATTAATTAATTAATTAATATTTAAATTGATTTTTTTTTAAAATTTTGGGTTTCGGATTTTTCGTGTTATAGATTCGATTTTTGAGAAAGAGAGTTGCGAAAATTCTCAACCTATTTATATGGCAAGCATTCACTAATTACGTCACACGATTGCAGATTAATCACGGTATTACAAATAAATTAATTGGTTGGTTTATTATTTTGTCAAACAGAGAAAAAAATTGTTATCAATTATGTAATATTTCTACATAGCCGGCGGCTATATAGTACGTAACAATCAAAAAAATCGTTTGTTGATCATCTAAAAAGTATTTAAAGATGATGATGGATAGTAATAGATGATTCACATGTGATACGATTATAAAGTGAGAGAATGAAAATTACTTTTACATTGGGTGATAGATAGCATTATTGGAATTAGAACTGTCATCATTTACCGTATGAGTGAACAAATCAATCAGTGTACAATTAGAATAGAAAATCCAACTAAAATAACGATAAAATTAATTAATTAAATTTAATTATTATAAGCTTGTAAGCCACAATTTTATCAAAAGCTGTATTCTGAAAAATCAAGAATTAATGACCAGCTTTAGCGTCATAAATGTGTGGACTATCAACAAAATTTCAAAGAACAAAACCCATCGTTAAATCAATCAGTTATAATTAATTCAAAAGAAAAGATTATTATTAAAATTATCTTCAAGAATGCCTTCCGTTTAATAACAGCCTTGACTTCATTGGTGAGATAATTATCTAAAGCAATCCAGTAAGCTTGAAACTTTTAGCAGATGAAAGAATACATATTAATATATACCAGTGAAATTATTCTGTGGTACAAATTTATAACGCCACACCTGTACTACTAATATATTGCTTTGGACAAGTATATCTTTTAATTTTATCTTTCATAAATAAACGGACACTGTTGTAAAAATATACTTGGTACATATGTTCCAATAATGAAAAGGATAAGGTTTATATTAGAAATATTAGAAATTATTGATTTTCTGTTTTGAATTCATAAAATGAACAATAAAAAAATTTGGAATTCCATCCAACGTATTAAAATATACTTCTAAACTAGATTTAATATCAAAGTATTGAAGCCTTTCCAGCATCACAGCATTGAGTTTATTCTATTACAGCATCTACAATTGTTACTGTTTTTAGATAGAGTTTATCCTCAAATTTGAATTTGATATTTAATTTATATACTTTCATAACCACAAATTACTAATAAATAGTTACATTATTTTATTTGTCCACACAGGCAATCGTCAGATGCTCCTCATTTCTGTTCAATTTCTCAATTCCATCAAAGACAATAATATTATGATTAGTATTGGAGATAATTTAGAAATGTTTACTCTTTTACAAGCTAGGAATGCAAATAATTCTTAAAACAAATAGTTCTTTGAATTTCTGCTTTATTGTTCGATTGGTTTTCTACTAACTCATTTCCCAGAATTATACATAGCATGTTTCCTTAATTGTTTCAAGCGGGTAATTCGAGCAAATACGGCTCGGAGTATTCTAATAAACGTGCTATGTCTAAAGCCCAACTTCGAATTTCCACATATTAATATATCCAAAATGGGGTTTTTTTTATTTGTCAGTAAAGTTTTTCAAAATTTACTATTACGACTAGCTTTTCTTCTATAATATTTGGAGTACCTAGAACGAATCAGTGAACAATTCACTTAACTTTTGATTCTAATCAATATATGCTATATATATTATTACATATAACTGGATTTAAATTTAAAATAGTATTATTATATATCAATACAAACAAGAATTTTAGAATTTTATAAAAAAAAAATTTGTTTAAAAAAAGCATCATGTAAAACTTCGACCATGAAATGCTCAATGACTTACATATTAACATCAAGTAAAAATTGCTTTACGGGTATGAAATAACTCAAACAAAAGATTTTAATTAGACCCATCGTGATTTGTGTTGTTTTTGAAAAGTGCAATTTTCACACTTTGACCTTGAATTACTCGAAAATGTAAAATAACACGGTTGGCATATTAAGTAAAAGTAAAAAATCATCTAATAAAATTCGGATAAAGGATTTTGTCTGAACCCATCGCGATTTGTTGTTTTATGACATTAAATTAAAATAATTAGAATCACATTCAGGTTTTAGTTCTACGTAATTAACAGCTTTTTGGTGTATAAAATTAAACTTCAACAATACTAAAATTATATCATGAAGTACTTTTGCCAAAAAAGTCAAACAATTGGTAATAGAAACCCATTTATATTAAGGATACCGGCTGCAACTTTTGATGATGGTTGCTACCATCTTTGAGTCATATAAAAGCGATTGCAACCACTGGTTGCAACCACCTTTACAACCATTTTGTTTCCTTTTTTGGATTGCGACATGGAACACTAATTTATACAGAGGGAAATTTCCTCAATTACTTTTTTATTTTCAATCAAGATCATTTAGTCTCTTTGACTTCAATTTGTGCAGTTAGTTAACCATTCTGTTGATGGCATAAAATGCAATTTTCAATTTTTTAAATATATTTAATTATCTTTGGAGGACTGGGAAATTTCTTTGATTAGTTTCTGTGATTATTTGATAAAACTTTTAGTATTTTCATCATCAATTCTATCCTATTTAACATTAAAAGTCAAACAAATAGATAGATAAATAAGAAATACAAGTTTATGTTATATTATCAAAAAGATAGATAAATTATATTAGTTTACATACTTTTAAAGCTGCAAGATTTTTCAAAGAAACAACAACTAGTGATATGTCTTCTGGGCCAGAAGGAAGAAAATTGGATACATTACAATTAAACCTTCATATAACCATCTTGCACCATAGCAATCGAATTTCATTCCTGATTGTAATTTTGAGAGAATTTAGTTGAAATATTAAATATGAATTTAATAAACAGCATACATACCAATAGCCTGCACAACATACACTTCAAGATCACCACCTTTACAACCATTTTGTTTCCTTTTTTGGATTGCGACATGGAACACTAATTTATACAGAGGGAAATTTCCTCAATTACTTTTTTATTTTCAATCAAGATCATTTAGTCTCTTTGACTTCAATTTGTGCAGTTAGTTAACCATTCTGTTGATGGCATAAAATGCAATTTTCAATTTTTTAAATATATTTAATTATCTTTGGAGGACTGGGAAATTTCTTTGATTAGTTTCTGTGATTATTTGATAAAACTTTTAGTATTTTCATCATCAATTCTATCCTATTTAACATTAAAAGTCAAACAAATAGATAGATAAATAAGAAATACAAGTTTATGTTATATTATCAAAAAGATAGATAAATTATATTAGTTTACATACTTTTAAAGCTGCAAGATTTTTCAAAGAAACAACAACTAGTGATATGTCTTCTGGGCCAGAAGGAAGAAAATTGGATACATTACAATTAAACCTTCATATAACCATCTTGCACCATAGCAATCGAATTTCATTCCTGATTGTAATTTTGAGAGAATTTAGTTGAAATATTAAATATGAATTTAATAAACAGCATACATACCAATAGCCTGCACAACATACACTTCAAGATCATGGAATTTATCTTGTAAATCAATTGGTATTCCCAAGAATAAATTCACCAACAAATACTTGACCCCATTTTCTAATTTTATTTTGTCTTCATCAGATTTAGATGATACCTTAAGTTTAAGCTCCTTCCAAAACCATTGGATAAGTATGCTTTTACTATTTACCATGCCATCTACTTTATTACCATGTTTACATTTTTCACCAGTCAACTTGGTATAATTTTTTACATTGACAACAGCATTTGATTATATCTCCCCACTAAACAATGAAACATGTATCAGTAATTATATCAATGAAATATAGGTAAATAAATACATCACTGTTCAAAAAATTGTCTCACTTTCTGAATTCTAAGTCTCTTTCAAAAAGAAATAATTTGTCAAATATTTGTGAAATACAAACATATTTAATTCTTGTTCTGACATATTATAGTGTAGTCTAAACATGTTAGCCGAATTGCTTCTCTTAATAAATGATCATTGCCGAATCTGAAATGCTGAAATAGTCTTACATAATTGCCGAAATTAACTTTATTAGTATCTGAAATTGTATCTGAAATTATTTGAACACTTTAGCTCAATAGCCAAAATCCTGGGTGGTTTTTTTGTGTTTATAAATATAAAGAATGTCCTAAATCCGAAATTGCCTGCCGAAATTGATTTTTTCAAAAACCATTTCGGCTAACATGTTTAGTGTAGTCTGCCAGATGAATAAAGTAGATGACTACAAACAATCAAATGTGAAGTTATAAGCATTTGAGTAACTGAATATAAATCATTAATCATAATACTTACAAGCAATTAAAGGTCTCAAAAGCCCATTTTTTCAAATATGTTTCTTGATTAAACTTAATTATATAATTATTTTCTAATGCTTCTTCAAGAAGAAGTAATGTCATCTATAAATTATCAAATTGTATTGTATCAGTTTAAATAAAGGAGATCGAGAAAAATCATAAGAAATAGAATTACATACAATATTTTCTTAGTTTTTTAAATATTCTAGGAATATTTCAAATTCTTTCTTTTTTTCAGGGACCAAATTATCTGATATAAGACAGAGTTTTTTGATTTTTGTACCAATATCATCTATTGTTATATAATCTTTGCTATCACCTGCACTAAACTTTTTGTAATGTTCAATAAAATTATCTGGCAGATATCTATTTGCAAGGGGATCTTGAATATTTAGAATTCCGTAGTCAAGTGAGCAAGTTTGTTTTTTTATTCCCTTATTTTTTTTGCTTAGAAGATTTTTTGAGATGTTTTCTCCATTAAATAACCATTTTCTATTTTGTGATGGTTTTAATTTTAATAACAGCAAAAGTCCATCACACTCATCCTCATTTTTGTCACTATTTGGAAATGATTCTTGATTAATTTTTGTTGATTCTTTTAAGAAACCCTCCCTATTTTTAATAAAAACAAAATTTTATTTATTATATAAGCTGGAATGAGGAACAATCACAACCACCACTACTGTTCTTTAATAATTAACTAGAGTGATGAGTTGCAGTGATCATAACCACCACAATTTAATGATAAATAACACATACTAGTTTCTTGTTTGGGTATCTTGCTTTCTTTTGCTGCTTTCTTTTTTGGCAGTGCCATCTAAAAAAAAAAGATTAAAAAAAGTTAATTGATTGACATACACAAGAAAAATTTTAATTTACATGCATGCATGGTTGTACAAAGAAGCTCCTATTACTATTGTTTGTTGACGCGATTGAATTTTTTTTTTTGGAAAAACAATTTATCACTTACAAGACAAGGAAAGCGCGAACGTTGTCTGGTATGGCTTAGTGATGGGCATAAAAATTATTTTGATAAATGACCAAGTTATTAAGTACTTAATAACTCTATTAGTGACTTATTAAGTGTTAAAAAACACAAACTTGCAGATCTCACAGATCTTTGATGGATGATTGTTTATCACTATTATTTAAGATTCAAATAAATCAGAAGTTCTGCACAAAGGTCTTCACCAACTTCAGAACATTCCAGTTGCAGATGTCTTGTCATGGTTTTATTAATGTCACAAATGCTCAAATTGCAATACTTGTAATGTGACTATTTAGTTTTCTCTTCTTTGGTAAAGTAGCTCCAAATTTCACCTTTTCTTCTCCCCTGTTTCTTATTAAATAATGTAATTAATAATTGTATTAATAATTTCTTGTCCAAATAAGTAAACTAGTCATTAACTAGTCATTAACTAATTTGATTGATTTGACAATTGAATTAATAACTTTTGCTGAGAACATGATAATTAATAAGGGGTTATTAACTAATTAATAACTTGGAGTTATTAAGTGTAGGGTTAAAAATTCCCATCACTAGTATGGCTTGCTCTAAAGAAGACAAGGTGTTGTTTATTGACTCTATTTTTTATTTATCAGTCAGACAAAATGTCACACAATCAACATGTCTATTGTCATAGCTATGTAAAATTTTTGTGAAACAAGTCGATTTTTACTATGGTGCAAGTCACTTAGTCACTGAACTTTTTGTGCTACAACGACAATTTTGAGAAAAAAATTTACCATATCCACCGATTTCTGCAATGTTACACGATTTCAGGCTGATTTTAGGGCACATTTTCGTTGTTTTTGTTTTGTTT